AAAAAAAAAAAAAAAGAACCTAAAACAAGAACTCAGTAAGAGAGTTAGAGAACAAACGTTAAAGACTAAAGGGTATTATTTCGGCTTACTCATCAACGTGTGGGCGATAATATTATTATCACAACACCTTATTATCATGTGATGATAATATTACCATAGGAAATTTCGACTTACTGCAAAAAGCAGATCATTGTGAAAGTATCTTTTTACATGCGCCATCTGAGGGTGCGTAAATATTGAATTTTTAAACGTCTTCTCACTTGTGATTCTGAGTTGGGAAAGGGAAGAGATATAGGGTTGGAAAAGTCGTGATGCGTTCCGGATAGTAGTTTATAGTGGTACTAAGTCAGAATAGAGGCAAAAAAATAGATCTAAGTAAAAACAAAATATTAAAATATAGGCGGAAGTTTGATGCAGTCTGGTGTAACGTATTGCAAGTGCTTTATACTCTCTAGTAGTAATACTAATAGCTATACTACGCAGTTGTTTGATTGGGCTACTAGTACCACCAAGCGACGAAAGTTATCAAATTGGTGTTTGCTGTTTACCAATAATAGTAAAATTACTACTGTTGCTAAGCCTATCATTCGTAATCGGATAAAAACACCGGGTAGTTTATGTTATTACTTGTCATTTAGAAGATGTATTTTTGCTCTCACTTTTAAACCTTCAATTTCAAATATTTTGACGCAATTCAGTGTAGAAAGCAGTTCATATAAAATGTATTCTAAGATCCAGAGAGAAGATAGAAGTGAGGATAGTTTAAATTTCAGTGTTTTCTCTAAATCGTTTTCCTTTGATAAGTTTGATAAACGACGAAGTGGTTATATGTTTGAGATTTTATCTTCTCTCATTTTGAACAACATAGAATATTTTCGAAATCTTGATTCCCAGGAAGCAGTAAAATTAGTAGCAGCCTTTGGTTTAATGACTGAACATCTTGAATATATTGAATCTAAGATTGACGATTTGGGAAGGGTTGTTCATTTGTATGATCTGGATGAGCATACACCCGGTAATGGCTATAGAAGCTTTTTGAGCATATTGCACAGTTTTATACTTATTTCTGTACAACTGTGTAATACCGTTTGTATGAAAAGAGATTCTTTCATGTTTCAGTCTTGCCAGTACCGTAAACAAGTTGAAGCTCATGTAAGTGTACTTGGTGCACTCCGCATTGGTTTAATATACCTGCTAAAAATGCTTTATCAAAATACTAAAGGTGAATTGTTTGTTGCAAATGAGCACATGACAGCACAGGAACTTCTTAAAGAATATGGATCTTTAGACCAAACAGGATTTTATGGTCGATGTCATGGCTTTTATGTAAGTTGGTGTCTAATTTTGGTTCACATAAATTAAGTTTCAAATATATATATTTTATTATTTGAAATACTTATTGTTGTTATTCTATAATAATATATTTGACCAAACTTTATTTCCATACATATCATTCACAATTATGTTAAATGTGAGATAATTTAGTTTTGTTGGATAGTCACCATGATTTCACGTGGGGGGAAAAATCTTGCTTTACTATTCTTTTGACATTGATGGGAATAACCTCAACAGTGTCATGGATAAAAAGGACCTTGGTTTTCTTGTTGATCAGTATCTTAAACCATCCAAATAATGTGTTATTGCTAGTCGCAGTGCAAATAGAATATTAGGTTGTATCTACAGAAATATTGAATATAAGTATATAAAGGTTATAATTTCATTTTACAGATCATTGGTTAGGCTACATTTGGAATATTGTGTTTAGTCCTGGACCTCTTACCTTGGGAAGGATATTGAATTGTTGGAAAGGGTTCAGAGAAGGATAGAAAGGTTGTCATTCAAGGATAAGTTAAAATCTCTGAAAATGTTTACATTTGAAAAAAGAAGAGTTAGAGGAGACCGGATTAAGATGTTTAATATTCTTAAGGAAATTGTTAATATTGATGTATCATCTTGTTTTTGTACTTAGTGGTGAAAATGGAAAACCTTTAGGAAAAAATATAAGTTTTGGAAGATTAATACGAGTTGTCATAAACTGAGACAACTTTATTTTTCTAACAGTGTAGTTTGCTTTTGGAATGGGTGGATGAAATTAATTCAACTTTTTAAAGGCGTTTAAGGGAAAGCTTGTTAAATATTTGAATGTAAGGGTTGGCTTTGAGTGTTTTGTTTTCATGTCAAAGTTTAGTATATGAGATGGCTTAGATGGACCAACAGGTCCTTTGTTGTACCTAATTATATGTATATATCTTCCAAACAAGAGCAACAAAATTACACTGTACAACGTAATAAGCTTTCCTTCAATTAATCTCTCAGTCATTATTCTATTTTTATTGGCAGTGTATATGGCCTGCCTGTATTTATCTTGGTTAGTTTCAATGATCTGATGAACTTGGGTGAATAGAAAAGTCAATAAATATTTTTTCTCATTTGTCATTCAAAACTTCAACCCAAATACACTACATATTTGAACTCGGCAATATGAGTTGTCTCAGCTCATTTTAGACAGTTCTACCTCTCTTCCATTATTTGTGCAGTCCATAAAGAATTTTACAGGATAATGTTTCATAAGTTATTGTCCAAAACCTACGATATATGTATTTATTTAAAGGAAAGCTAATTTTTTATTTGCTAATTGCATAAACCTGTTTTCTTATGTCTTCTAAAATTAAAAATGAAGAGTTTCCATCACCTGTGTCTAAACAGTTTGTAATAAAGTCATTTATAAATTCCCCAAAACTGGATATTGAACCAATACTCAAAAATGTACAGTTTCATCTATACAATTGTTTAAGTCTTAACATAAAGACATAGAAATGGAAGTTATAATATTTTTCTCTTAAACTTTAAGTTAAAGTATCTAATATATAGTTTTATATGTGGCATATGAATAAGAAAATTTTTTTTTTGTATATACAATATATATACATGTATGTATGTATACACAGTGGTTTGTGAACCATGGGTGTTAGGTAACCATGGTGATTAAGAAAAGTGACTTGGCTTGTGATAATTTGTAATAAATTTTCATTAGAAAAGGTGTGCTTTTTGCATGTATATATAACATAACATAATGTTTTGGGACAACATGGGACTTATTGGTCCATCTCGGCTGTTCCATCCTCTAAACTAAATTAAAATAATTAAAAATAATAAGATAAATCTTAAAGTCAGACCCTTCTCATTCACATACTTATCAAGCTTTTCTTAAATTCACTTAAATTTACTGCCTCTACAACAC